TGTAAATCCTTAATTTATTCATCTTAAAAGATGAATGGTAAAATGAGGGAGAGGGTTGGGTTCACTACTAAGTTAGGACCGCCCTTGGTTAGGTTTCAGTTGATATTGTCTCACACCGTTGACCTATACCAATATCCAGATATAAATGATTTGGAAAACATAAAAACCATAATTTCTGCATATACTAAAATGTGTCTCCCTTCAACATGTAATACTTTATTTTTATTTTTTGTTCTTTCAGATTCGGCATGGTCTTTGGGTGCCTTATATTAAGTGTATTAACCACAATTAAACAATTCAATGCTTGGGCGAGTACCGTCCTTTTTTATGTAGTAAGTATACTTGATTTATATAATACCAATGAGTAATGTTCTCTAACGATTCGAAAATGCCAATAGATAAGTTAAACTTACCTCGATCATTATTGATTTGCATACATCACCTCTGATCAAAACAATAGTTTGAATTTGAATCTCCCTTTACTATGTGATACGCAACTATTACACTTAATGCACTAATAGTATTTGTGTTAATGCAACGAGGAAGAATTGAACACTAAGAAACAAAGGATCAGAATTGCCACATATAGTTTACAAAATCTTTAACCTTTCGACATTTTTCATAAGTCGTTCACAATATATATACATACACATAATAATAAATAATTATAATTAATTACCCAGTGATAATAATTCAATCACTGTCAAACACTATTTTGGACTTGCTCATCAAATGATAATGTTTATCATATAACCTTGATAGCTTCAGAAGTTGTCATGGTATAAATAGAGGTATTTAAAAACACACGTACATGACAATATCAAAGACTGTAAAGCAATAAATCAATAGTTGCTCAACTAAATCACACTTACGAATCATTTGTTACTTTTGATGCTATACTTACATTCTGCCAATATATATGCCAATATATCAATCTAAAGTGTATGCAGTTGTCAATGATATTATGGTGCGTGTGATAATATGATGGCATAAACATGATAAAGCATTACACATTTAGAAATAGTGTCCCAGAGAAAAATATAAATACATTCTATATTTACCAAATATCTTCAAGCTATAATAGATATTTAAACATGGCGAAATGCAATAATCCACAGATTTATGGACTTCACAGAATATGAAACTGAAAGCTTATTGCCAGTTTGAAAGAAATAATGTTGTAATATGATCTAATTCGATCAAGCATTCTCTTGATGTATTGTCTATTCACCATGATGTTATTCTTTTATATATTTTCTATATGGTATTTTGTCACTCTCATTATTTACAATGTCGACTAATGAATATGGCGACCTGTAGATAATTATTACAAATTCCATGCAATGATATATTTACTATAACCTTTTATACCACAGGAAGTTCCCATTACATGAACTTTTATACAAATGGATTTATCTCTACAGTTATTTTAGTACAGCAGTAGTATTTGCAATGATGTCAGAAAGTGTATGTCACAATTAAAGTGACTTTTCATTTGTAATCCGAAGCTTTATGGTAATTTTTGCATCAAGTATGCAAATTTGCTGGAACTGTATAACTCTTTATAATTTGATTAATCAAGCGAGGTGTATTATTTGGCCAACCCTGTATATAAATATTTTCATCTTTCAGGAAATTTTGATGGTAATATGGCTCATGATTGAATACGTACTCAGGATGTGGTCAGCAGGCTGTAGGTCCCGCTACCAGGAATGGAGTGGGAGACTCAAGTTTGCTCGACGACCTTTTTGTATTATAGGTAAGTAGATAGTTAACTTATTAATTCATAAATCAATCAATTAGCAAATTGTAACTGAAGAAAATAAGTAATTGTAAGCAATTTTCTGAACAAAATCGCTCTTTTTATGAGTTTGCTCAAATTTCGCACAAAATATAGCACAAAGTAAAATAAGAAAAGGGATCACACTTGACACGTGCGCTTCATAGACGATGAGAAAGATAAAACAAGGTGTTCTATGTCATGCTATGTGACTATGAATTGACTACTTGGAAGTAATAGGACTGCCTGGCTCACCATTTGACCATTATTTATGATGTTAGAGGGCGAGAATACCATTTTGCAGGGAGCATCAATGAACAACTATTGAGTAATGAAATACACAAACATCAACCTAGCCAACTTGATTATATGTTTCGGACTTATTTTAAAGTTAAAGGCATTGTATTTGGAAGTATACTGCACGTTGTTTACGTAGATTTATATTATATTATTCTTGTATTATATGCTTGTTAAATATCTTCATATTATAACCATAATAAGACGAAAATGAAATCATACTTCAGAGCAAGCATATTCGATTAAATAATGGACGATAATAGAGAGATTTTGCAACTCACTTATAGCATGTTTATTATTCTCGTATAACATATAACTTATGAAGCGTTTCATTACCTCATCATTTATTGCGTAGCTCTTTTCACCCAAAAGTGTGATATTATAAATCGTCGTGTATACGTAAGAATATATCACACTTATGGACGTATAGAGCCGCGCAATAAATAATGACGCAATCAAACGATTCATAAGTTATACGTTATACGGGAATAATAAACATGCTATAAGTCAGTTGCGAAATCTCTCTATTGAATGAGGCAATTGTGTTATAATGATTTCTCTTAAAAATACCTTACCCAAATCACATAGAGAGTCGTCTACATACTTGTACCTCATTTTGCAATCTAGATATCATTGAAATAATAATTTCCGAAACGTTTATTTTTTGTTCAAAAAGTGTTTACCACTAATCAATAAAAGCCTTATACAGTTATGACACAATTGATTTTGCATATTTCATGGATGTCAATAAATGGTCGAGTTCCTAGTTCATTCGCCTAATTTTGGTTTTAATATTTATATCATTTTTACCTACGTGCCACTCCACCGAACCTTTAATTGATATGAAAACAAAAAAATAAAGGGTCTCTCTACAATAATATACAACCGATATTTTCTCGATTTGTATGTGTTTGGTTTGACGATTGGTTTAATATGCATTTAATCTTCATTGTTCCTCTCTGAAAACAATTGCTAGATTATTGCAATAATTACATTATTATTGCCCACTTACTGACTTTATAAACTGTGATATAACTTATCAAGAGTAATATTAATTCATCAGTATACATAACCTTGGATCATCTGGTTGCCCATAATATGAGTCCATTTCAGATATAGTAGTTATAATGGCCAGTATAGCGGTGCTGTCCGTAGGAGTTAACAACCAAGTGTTTGCCACGTCCGCTCTGCGTGGACTTCGATTCTTCCAGATTCTGCGTATGGTCAGAATGGACAGAAGAGGAGGGTCTTGGAAACTGCTAGGCTCAGTTGTATGGGCTCATAGACAAGTAAGACCCCAGGCCCATTGCCCCTAACAAAGCAGCATAGCTTTGTACACCCATTTGAAATATATTCCTGTTGGCTATAATGGCTAGAAAACCGTGTTAAAATTACAGATATTTGAGATAGTTCATCAGACTGATCAAAATAATACAATCTGTCCATTCTAAAACAGGAATTTTTTCACTCGGGTGATAAGTAATATTTTTAGGATAGTGGCAAATCAGTTTAGGAGTGTGGTTCTATTTATTGTAGACATTATAGTGATCTTTGCCAGTATAGCAGTGCTCACTCTAGGGACAAAGGGACAGATTTTTGCAGCCTCCGCGCTTAGAGGATTACGGTTCTTCCAAATATTACGCATGCTCCGAGTTGACCGCAGAGGGCGGTCTTGGAGGTTACTCGGCTCTGTAGTATGGGCCCATAGACAAGTAAGATGTCGCAGGCTATGTTTCACTCGCCGTAGCTTCCTTCTGTAAGATGTGCTTGGCTGTAAACGTATGTTTCAGCATAGTTAGACATTATTGGATGAGAATGTGTCTGAATATTTTGGTATATACAACTTTTGGTCCTTTCACCTTGGCACTCGTGCTTAGACATTTCTTTGATTACCAGATGTCCCAATTCTAGAATGTCTGTGTTGCACAAAAGGAGGATGACATTGAGGTGCAACGTCCAACGGAGGATCTAATTTACGGAGATTTGTTTGTATTATGATAATTAATAGTGTTATAAGTAGGACTAATCATCTTTTATTTTGCACATGCATTGTGTATCGTCATATGTACATGTAAATGCTAGAAATGTGCCCCATGAACGATTGCGTATACATATAGGAATATGTGCATGGCATTATACTCATTTTGTAGTTAGAAAATGAATAATGCGCATCGTTTTAGTTTGATGACTGATTGATTCCAAGTTACATGTAAACACTTTAGCAGTTGAACATCAACTAATTAAAAGAACTGCAAAGCGTTGTTAAAATCTATATACATAGGGTGATATTCTATGATGATTGCATTTGCTAAACAACATCTTTTATAGCACTCAACGAAAATTAGTTAATCTGTGGTGAATTTATTAGAGGAGTCCACTGTAACAGTGTAGTATTATCTACTAATATTAACGCCATATACAACATTGCTAAAGGGGATTTCTCTACAACCAAATGTACATTTTATTTGTAAACTGAATGATTGCACTTTGCATTGTATTAATGATATGTACAATGATGCATGTTTAATATTTTCGTACCGAATTAAAAAAAATAGAAGTACTTTTTATTATCGCACTTTTAAGAGTGCTATATTGTTGTCGTCTTGTGTTGATGGACGTGCGTGAATCTGTGCGTGCATGCGTCTCTGCCACAAAAAGTTGAAAAAGTTTAGATCTGGATTTTAGGTTTTGCGTATGCTGGGTAAATAACTTGGCGGCCATATTGAATTTGTCGCTAAAAGTGCGATAATCATCACTATGTGTGTCGTTTGATAGTACAAATACTAAGAATAGTATTTAAAATGTTTCTAGATTTGTGCTATATTTATTATCATACCATTTTATAATGGGTTTACTGTTACCTATATCTGCTCGGGTAGTGTCCATTGGATCATATCTCATTATATCTAATGTTTTACAGCTGTGATATCTTTGGTTCCTTAATACTTCGGATACTACTTAAGATGTATCTCTGTTTCATTGATTAAAAAATGGTTCAAAGGACAGGGGAAATAGTGCAAATAACTTAGAGAGTTATGCTATTGATCGTAGGTCTTTCTGAAGAATCATAGTAAATACTACAATAATTTCAGGTCAATGTATTCTGCAATGATGAAACTTAATTCTGCTGTCATCTATTTTTAATCGTTGGAATATAAGCCTTGCTAAACACAGAACTTATGTATTCAAAGAAATGGTTATTAAAAATCTTTATCTCTGATTACTTAATAATTTTTTCTAGTTAACCCATATATGCAGAAATATGAATCTGATTCAGCATTTACATGTCGTGAACGTTTATAAGTGACATGTGGCACTAAAAAAGTAAACATTTGTGAGAAAGGGATGGCTTAATAGTTTACGGTTTAATTTTGTGGGGGTCCATTGTTTATCCTAGACGTTTTTGTTGAGTACTTCAAAGACGAATTGCTTTTTAAAAGGATTGGTATCGATATGGTGAACTGAATTCAATAATGTTTTTCTCTTAAACCAATTGCTGAAATCATTCTGTAGAAAAACACGGTCCTTTATGTAATGTTGACTGATTGACAACAATTTAATGCAAAAATAATTTATATATATTTCATATAACTGTTTTTGTTAACATTTTTTTGTTTTTAGTGCACTTGTTTTTTGATCCTTTTTACCAATTCTTGAGAATGAAATAAAATATCTTTCCGAAGCTTGTTGGAACAAAATAGCATATACAACATTTTCTTATACCTCTCAATATTATAGTTATACAAAGGAAATGTTGGTCGATCGAACCAAAAGTATTTAAGAAATTAAAAAAAAAAAAAAAAAAATAGATAAAAAATTAAGATAAACTTTTTTTTCATTAACAAGATACTTTTTTAAAATCAACCAAACTTTCCTTTGTAAAATTACAATATTGAGAGACCTAAATACGTTGTGTTTATGTAATTTTGTTCCAATGAGGCTCGGATAGATGTTTCATTTCATTCCGACCATATGATACCAAGAACAAAAGAAGTGTCTGATGTGTTTTCTAAAACAATATAGAGAAAAGTTCATATATTTATTTCAAATTATATTGTTACCATTCAAAAGATGACTATTAAATTGACAATGTGTAACATTTTCAGAATTTTGTGATGACTGGTTTAAGAGAAACGTGTGTTCAAAAAGTTCACCATATAGATACCCATCCTTTCACTGTAATCTTTAAGCTGAGTCATATTACTTATTGTTGACTGTTAAAACATTCTACATATAATGATTCTGAAAGAAATACAACATGTACCTGCAATATGTGTATGTGTAAGAACTCTCTTCATGTACCATTTGGTTTTATTTTCAGGAATTGTTCACAACAGTGTATATAGGCTTCCTAGGCTTAATCTTCTCGTCATTCCTCATATATCTAGTCGAGAAAGATGAAAACCCAGACAAATTTGGTAGCTATGCAGATGCTCTCTGGTGGGGTGTGGTAAGTTTGCTTAATATATGATAGTCTCGTATATTATATATTTATGATAATAACATCACCTATTAAAGGTTTTTACCATTAGATAATGTATGCAGTAAATAACTTTTTAAATGTAATATATTCAAAGAACGTGTCGAGAACATTATGCTGTTTTGTGTTCAAAAGACTGATGTCACTTTCTTAAAAATCAGTAAGTTTTGCTTATACAATATATTATCTTACACGTTTTAGTATTTTATCATGTCAAGCTATGCGACAAACGATTTTCAAAAAGCAATAGTTAATTAACTTTATGAGACCGCAAATTAATTCTAAATTAATTTATAGCGCTACCATAGATAATGTATTATGCTACACAACTTATTAGTTCTCATATCACTTGTTATAATCTATTATATTATTATACTGTAAATACTGTCAGATATATGTATGATCTTCATTCTTGCTGAATATTGCATATCTTATTCACAAACGTTAACTGACATAATAAATGAGAAATGTAACTTCTTCAAAGCATCACTACTAGTATATGTTACACATATCGAAATATATAAGGGTTATGTACTGGGAGGTTTTAGATATGGGGTTTATCCAGAGGGAGATATGTATATCTACCTGAGGGACCGTAGGGACCGAAGGTAGATGTGCATATCTCACGAGGGATGAACCCTATATCCAAACCGACCGTACATAACTGCTTTATCCTATACCAAGTTGAGTTTTCAGGGGCATATGGCCATTTCAATAGGGCAAGGTGTAAAAATAAATAAATCATTCATATGCAAAGTCATTTTATTGCATTACCAGAAGCGGGAAGATATGCATCGGAAGCGGGAAGATATGCACCGAAGCGGGAGATATGGCGGGAGATATGGAGGTTCTGGATATGGAAACCTCAAAATCAGGATACGGGATATATCTTACCAATTTATCTCCCTAAAACTCTACTTGGCATAGGATAAAAATCCATATCAAGAACCATCTAACATCCCAACACAATGAGAACATTAGAACCTCCATATTTTGTATCGACACTTCAATTTTAAAACATATTTCACGGAAATTAAACTTCACACAAACGGATGTTTTATGCAATTTTATATACCATTTTTGGCTCACTCTGTAATAACACAATTTCATTTTTTGATGTAAATGTATAAAAAACGAAATGTTTTTATTTCTAGTATTTGATCATTTGAAAAACGAGCTACACACATTCTTGAGTGCGTGCGATATATTTGGAGTATGGCGATAATCCTGGATGTTCTAATGGTGCTTCATTTGCAATATATTATGCTTTACATTATTTACAAAATATACAAAGCATTTAGATTAGCACAACGATAGTATGTCCAAAGTATGTATCAACCATGATTCAAATGATGGCAGATTTAACAAACATTATCACAATTAGCATTTCTTAACACTCATCAAATATATTTTTTATAGTATAGAGAATGCATACATGTATTGGACTCATATATCAAATATATACATGATGAGTATAAGTAGTTGCACATGACGATGAAGACATGGTGTGGGTTTTGTAGATTACACTCTGCACAGTCGGGTATGGAGATACCGTTCCTATGACCGCTTTGGGGAAAATCATTGGGGCAATGAGCGCTCTGACTTTCATTTCTTTCTTTGCCATGACACCTGTGAGTATATTTAAGGCAGCCAAAGAGCAATCTTAAGGTCATACATACGTGTTCAATATATATGTTTATTTATAAACATCGGGAATATTTAGGGAGAGCCATATGGCATTAATCTCCGTGCACCTTAAACATGTATTACCTTCAGATGCATTGATAAATTTAGAATGGATGCCATCTGTACCAGGACAAATCTAGGATATAATATCAGTCATTGTAATCATATCTGTCAGCCACAATTGTGAGTACATTATCCTGATTGAAATCGATTTGTCTTGGTGCAATCAACGCATAATATCGGGCCTATATATGTGATGTTGTAAGAATTTCTTTGAGCTCACTAATTCAAAACGTCCCAAAAGGCAGGCATATATCAGAGTGCCAGATAAGAAACTTTCCACGTCGACTTTTTATCTGAAAATATGAGTAATCGAGTTTCAGCTTCAGTGTATATCTGAACACTATTCTTACAACAACATGGTCTGTCATTCAAGATACGAAACCATTCTCAAGTCATCAAATGAAAATGAAAATGGTGTATCAAAATTTTTGAAAGAAGGGGAAGTCATAAGTCAAAGCAGAGTCTCATGATAACAAAGACGAAAGAATGAGCTACTGTCATCTACATCATAACTGATATATAATTGATCAACTCCCAATCACCATTGTGTCAGCATATGTACATACATGTAGGCTGATCTCATTCATCTCATTGACTTAGTCCTCCCCTTCTTTACGCAGGCGAAGCAAAAAAGGAAAATAAAGCCAGAGCATAAAATGCTGCATTGGAACCCCACCCCAGTTTAGTTTGTGTGATGTATGGATTTTGCTGTGCACTATTAGTTTGTTTTTGGGTTTGGGGAGGTCTCACAAAGTTTAAGCATGTCATATTATTCTTCGTTTATGGTTTGATAGCTATCCCAATCACTTGAACATTAAAGCTTTGGTTGAGCACGTACACTTAAGCGTTAATCTCGTTGATGGGACTAACGCCTCGGAAACAAGAATTGACCATACATAGTTAGTATGGCTTGCACTATCTTTGTGCCCGTATCCCCACATCGGTTTGACGCATAGATATTCTTATGTGTTGTAGATTACCCTCTGTACTGTTGGGTATGGGGATACAGTTCCGACCACACCAGTAGGCAAAATCATTGCAGCATTTTGTGCCGTGGCTGGCATCTCATTTTTTGCTCTTCCTGCTGTAAGTAAATCAGCGAAACCATGGTTCATATTGTTAAGTTCCCTTCAGTTTGTATTCCCATAAGCAAAGGTTTTCTTTGTAGATTATAGTATTAACTTTTCAGAAATCACTTCTATGTAGGAAAACCCAGACCCCTTTTGGATAGCCTGTTTATGTGTGAACATTTCACCCGAGTTACATATAGTCAGAAAGGTTTGTCTTTGATATTTGTTTTATAATATCAAATCGTAAACCGGCTTAAACACGTTGTTAAAAAGGAGACTTCTGGCTTCAAACCTTTAGAAGGGAGTGAGAGTTCCCTTACTATTATGAGAAATATTGTATTTATGGCATATAAAGGCTACACCAGTTGGGACTCACTTATTAGTGCAAAATAATATTCTAAAAGTACTTGTCATCAGGCTATGAAAATCAATGGCATGATTCAAGAGTTCCAGGATATATCATATTCCTTAATCCTTCTAATTCTTTAGATTTTTGTCATAAGCACTGGACACATGAAGTGATTTCTGAATTATCTTATGGTCATATATTATATTAAATTATCGTTTGGTGAAATAATATATTGAGGAACATTTGAGTACAAGATATATGTTACATTTATTATTAATGGTCACTTATTAAATAACCGCTAGTAAATATTACCGTTTAGTAGAAAGGAATAACTTCAAACTAATAAATCTTCAAACTAACAATATTAAAACGATTATAGGGTATCCTCGGCTCAGGGTTTGCTCTAAAGGTTCAACAGCAGCAGCGACAGAAACATTTAATACGCCGGCGCGTTCCTGCTGCAACGCTTATACAATGCTTATGGCGGGTGTACGCCGCCGATCCAAACTCAATGTCAGTAGCCACTTGGAAACCCCACATGAGGCCTTGCCCAAGTCCAACAGGGTTAGTACCATTTCTTTGTTTATATTTTTTAAAAACAAAAGCGCAGGGTATTGTAAATATTTTAAGGGATGTGTAGAATGTGAATGTCAGTTTCCTATGTATTGAACTCATTCAAATCATATTAGAGCAAGTTGTCTGAGTGGGTCCACACATGCTACATCACTTACCTTGCAATGTACAATTCTCAGTTCGTAGTGTCTAGTGATCAATTGTTCTTGACTAACGGCATGTACTATGCACTATTTAACATCATATTTTCGTTTCAGATATACAATGTCATGTAGACTATGCATACTTTAACTGTCTTGCCTCTACTTATCAGTGGTGTAACTATTACGATGACAATATCCCAAACATCCATAAAAGCAAACGTTTTTCTGATCGATCTTGGAAATTGAGCACTATTGTTGTCGTAACAATTATAGCACTGTGAACTCATTCGTAATTTCTGAATCTTGTTCATATGTATTTCTGTTTGTTAATAGAGTGCAGAGAAAAGCCCGAGATATATTTTTAAGAGCAACGCAAAGACGACACTCATCTCCTGAACCCGCTCATATATCCCCCCTGTTAAGGTGAAATCCCCGCTTAGATTTATGTTTTTTCTTACAAGCCTGGACTTTTGTATATCCCGTTGTTCGCCGCCACTTTTAGCTTGATTTAAGTGTGTTTAACATTATATATTAGGGTAAGCCACACACAGTATACGACTGCTAGGGTTCATTGCGTTGCAATGTCTTGATTTTTTATTGTTCAGTATTGCCTTTAGTTCAATGTTATATTTTGATCGTTATCACACTTTTCTTATACATTATCACTTATTGATCACATTTTGTAAGTCATTTATCCCAACGAACACAATTCAAAACACCCGAATGCATTAAACTGTCATTTAGTGTGCGTTCGTCAGACTCAAGTCAATAGTGTCATTCACATTTGAGTTTAATTTGGTGATTATAAAGGTCACAGCCAGCCAGAGAAACGGACACATACAATATATTTTAGATCATGCATCGTGATCCTTATTATAGTTAAAAAGAAGGAAATTAGTGAAGGTTACAACTATCAATACTTTTTGTAAATAATTATTTGTACTGTTTATATAATTAATGGTAAAAACTCTTCTTGACAGAAGGAAAATAAGATAAACAAACAAATAAACAAACAAACAATCAAATTACCCGCTCCCCAAAATTAAAGTATTGTATATTAAGTATTTAGATGCCCAGCCTCCTAAGCAGGTGTCCAGAATCCGTACCTCCTTAGGACGAATATATAAGCACAAATGCCAAAGGGAAGGGTGACTAAAAACTTTAAAGAAACCCAACAAGAAAAGCAAACTGTAAGTGTAAATCTGTCATAAGAAAAGTAGACCCTATATATCCCAAAACCATAATCTAACGTGAAAAGAAACAATGTCTAACACCCCCTCCCCCTCCAATCGAGAACCAATATCACAATTCAGGACCAGAACACCAAGGGACATTTCATTCATACTGAAGTCATTACAATACATGTTGAAGAAAAATTGATTATTACTCATGAAATATAGAGTATTCATTCTCAAATGATGTGGGATAGATAAAATCCAGTCTCGAAGTCCATAGGCAATTCAAAGGGTCAACATCCGTTCGCAAAGCCGTCATCATAATCCGTAAAACACAACAATTCACAATGGTCATCAGGAGAAAACTATGGCTGGTTTCGATCCCTATTTCTCAACCATTAATGCCATAGCTGGGATATGATATGATAAGATATTCTGGACTTCGAAGCCCTGTGATCGGAGGATGTTAGATACAAAAACTGATGTTTTGGTAGCCTTTGACTGTATTTAGATTTTAGACACTAAAGATAAATTTTCAGAATCGATTGCTTTTTAAATAGTAGGAAACCAATCTAAGGATCTGGATCTAAGGATTTTGAGCTTTGACCTTCAAATCAAATTAAGCGTGTCATAGGCGTAGCCAGGTGGGTGCGATGGATCGCACCCCAATTTGAGAAAGAGGAAGAAAAGAGCTTTAAAATGCTTTTTATTTGAAGCTTCTAGCTCAATTTTGAAGGAAGTTTCGTCAATTTTTTGCTTGTTCTTGCCACAATGGCACCCCCTGAATTTTTGGCCTTCGCACCCCCCCCCCCGACTGAAAGTTGGTTACGTCCCTGCGTGTTTACTGTGGAGTAGTTAGTACCCCTTGTCTAGCATCACTCAAATCTATATGAAATAGAATTGACATCAGATCACAAATGTGATACCATCTTTTTGTTTTGAGCTTCATGTCAATGGAGACTGTAAGCAATGTATATAAAATCGAAACGGAAATATATACGTATAAATCGCCTTAAACAAATGCATGTAGTTTTCTTACATAAAAGAACAATCGTTCGGTTACAGTGTTTACTTACCCCCCTATCACACCAAACTAGTTCTTACCCGTTCTTGCCAGTTCTACGAAAACGTCGTAAAACGGGCTCAATCTGGCTGTGGTCGGGAAATATGTCTAAAATAATTAGCTACTTCGTTCATAAACAGTCTTCAATACGTCCATCTCATTCGCAGCTCGGTCAGGTCGCACCACGTCGGTGTGCAACGTCGTATAACGCGTCCCTTAGTCTAGAAGGTCATCATGACCTGGTTACAGAACGGCATGGTCGCCATCGAATTTTGAATCGATTCAAAATTCTAAATCACATTCCCCGTCCGGGAAAGTCCATGAAGTTCGTAAACAGACCGTAGAACGTTGTAGCTACGTTCATGCAATTCGCACACAGTTTAAAACCGATTCGGCAACGTTTTGACGATCACCAGATAATTTTGAACATGCTTTAAGTTCCGGAGGACCTACTCGTTCTAGTAGTTTCATGAAGTTTGTAAACAGATCCCAAACGGTTCTCAGTGGGTTCTTAGTATGTCAAATCCGTTCGTGCACAGTTTAAGCCCGTTTTCGAGAACGTAGTGAGAACTAGTTTGGTGTGATAGTAGGGTAAGTCTGTTACTTATAGACTACACACCATCGTGTATTATGCCATTGATAGTTATACAGCTGGTTTATACAGCTGATTTTAAACATGCTCGTTTCGTAAGATATTTGGAGCTTAAACATAATTTTCTTCAGAAGGCATTATACTTATGCATCGAAATCAAAATTACCAGCATAGTATTCAAAAGACATGAGTATAATGATTCCCGTTGCCACAAACTTGGAATTGCAAATATCCCGTTCTAAACACAGCTCTGAAGCTGATCGGGTATCTGAAGTAGACTAATTAGCGCTTGTTTTGTATGCGCGCTATACACATTACTGTATTGATTCATGGACTTTGCGTTCGCGGTTACGTTGTGACAAACATCGCTAGCTTAAACTCTCCATTTCTTTAATTGCCTGAAATTTTATTAAAGATCCCTTCAAAAGTTTGATGTTCAAAACGGAATTTTTGGGAAAATGCAAATAAAGTATAATTGTTCGTTGGGATTTGGTCCTCTGTATTGTTGCCATTATATATACACTGTCTATGTTTTAATTATTGTCAGCACTCAGCACTCGTATATATACTGTGGTTGAGAATATGCTATGACTTTCAATTTAATTATTTTCTAAAAATCATTTTTTATATATAAATGTTTTCAATGCAGAAATGTTCATAAATTTGTTTCAAGAGTTTACCAAGAACAAGATGGACAGTGCACTAGAAGCTTTCAACAGTTTTAAAGTCATATAGAACATATAATTAAGATCTGACTTACTTTTCTGTAATTCAACTCTCCAGGCAATATGGTGTACATTAACAAGGGTTTGAATAATCATCATTGTGTAAGACCTTCACTGAATTGCGATTTCAACAGAAGAAAAATGTTCTGATTTGTCAAATCTAATTTTGATTTTTCAAATATAAGTCATGTGATCTATTTTCAGAATGAGGCTTTGGCCTCTTAATTTAAAGCAATGGAGGGATTGTGCACACTTTTTGATGATGTCATCTAGGTCAGTTTACAATCCTAAATAATAGCAGATGATATATTATCTGAACTGATGATGATATATAGGCCTTAAAATGAGAAATATCCGATATCCTTCAGTTATATGGAATTCACATTATCCTACTATCATGGTAAGATAGAGATCTTGACAACGATAGTTCTTAGGTTTGGACAAAACTGGCTTATATTCGTTCTATATGGCTTTAATTTTTGTTCCTCACTCGCTATGATCGTCCAGTTATCTATCAGGCCTTTAGAATAGGACCTAGACTGTAATTCATACATAGCTACATCACATTCTGGCCAATCAGAACACAGTTTAGCCATTCTTTATTTTACATCAGGTGAATGGTTATTTTGACCTTATATAAATAATTAAATTATTTTAAATAATTCTTGTTGTTTTCTATATTTCTCTATTATATAATTCGTTGTTTCTTTTATATTAAAAGTGCAGACCAATCCAAAAATTGAATATCCAGGCATTTGAAAAATTAGAATGAGAATATACACTTCTAAAACACCCATCCAAAAGATTGAAATTGTAATAACTTGTCAAAATGATCTACCGGCCTGTAGCTGAGTTCTGTTTCGTTTTCCAAAACTGTTTTGCGATGTGTAAAAAGGATGTAAGCACCGGATTCATTGATTTGTCTTGGTTTGAGGCATTTAACAATTGACCTGTGTTATATTTTACAAACAAAGCATTGAGTCTGGTGCTTAAATCCGCAAATATGGTTTACTTATTTCCTTGAATTGTATATTACGTTACAATTTTATGAAGTTCAACAAATTGTTCAGAGACCCAGTGGTAATGGTTTGATTTGTTCTCTAAATACAAAAGGAGGATATTTCAAGTTATATCACAGCTTCTAAGAATTGATGGGTAATTGGACGATATTTCACTTAAAAAATCAGAAATAAGTCTCATATAAGTGTCCGTAAGTCTGAAAAATAACTACTTATTGTAAAAGCAGGAACAGACAATCGTTTAAATCAATTGAAGTAATTTGGCTTTTCTGTAGCAATAGGTGCAAAAGGCCTCAAAACCCTTTAAAATCCATAGCTAGATTCTGTCTATATATGGTTCTTAAGTTGTGGACTTTGAGAAAGTGATGAACTTTGCTAGTTTGTTTTTATTTAATTCATAATCCTATGTTCTCTCTCGAGATAACATATTTTATAATACTTATCTTCTGATAAATCATCGTCTAATCATCTCATGTAATAGTGCAATGGTGGAAATATCCCAGAGTAATAAAGGAACATACAGAAACACCCTGTTGGCCACAATCTTTTGTACAGAGTGAGCCAAAAAGGTAGCCCAAACAAATATATACTCAGCATGAAGTTTGAAGTCATTTTTAGCACAATTATTCGTGTTCAGTTAACCTACATTCTACTAAGTATCATTGGTCTATTTGAATTTTGCAAAATATGACTTGAAATGATCCATACTTGACGACTGAGTTATTAAACATTTGTTTGGACTACATTTGTGCTCACCTTGTACATGTATCTTGAATTATTTCATTATTCCAAAAGGTGACACAATTATTTTCAGTAATCTTTTGATCATGTTTCATTTATAAACACACCTTGAACAACATTGACGTTGGAATAAGATATGAGTTTTTTGTAATTCTATCTATAGGCATTATAGGCACACTTATAGAATACTATTTATGGCTTTGCTAAGCCTAACGGTGTTTAAGAATAAAATACAGTAAAAACAATGAGTTGTGTTCTTCAATTAGTATATGGAGTTTATAACATGTATTACTTAATGGAATGTGCTAATAAATCATAATTTACTTATTTTAATCTGATACTATTTTTCTCTCATGTACATTATTTCAATACCTGTTGTATAATCAGTTGACGTCCCTATGTTTTTACTCGAATGGGTTAATCTTATCATTGGATCTCCGAGGGTGTTGTGCAGTGTAGTGTCTACTTTCATCTTCCGAGTAATCGTAATTGTATTCTAAATCTAGATTATGATCAACGCTGCAGCTTCATTGATATCAGAAACCATGGTGGTAGTAGTGCTATCACCGTCAATGAACTAGATGTTCGACCTGGCTAAGCCAAAGCTGAATGGTTGCAGCATCAATTTAAACATAGAGTGACATACTTATTCATTCTTTCATTTCATCATTTACTTTGTTTTAGGGAGAGGGACAGATTCAAACACAATTCTTCCTTTGTCAGTCGCTTCTCTGCTAAACGTAAGAATCGACCAGAGGGTGCCAATCACCTAGGTCCCCATTCTCCATCAACTACAAGGTCAAGTCTTAGGTCAAAAAATGGTAGCGCGGAGTCGGAGTTTGGGGATTCCAACGAAGCGTTGAACAGGTGAGCCAAAGTTGAATCAGTAAATAATGCTACTTAGAACATAACTGCAGTAGGCTAAATTTGGAGGCTAACTTTGAAGTATAGGACAGATAAAGATTGCATTTTTTGTTGGCGAGTTAGTGATACACTTATATGTGAATTTGAGCACAATCATATTTACCATATCGCATATTCACAAACATGCATGGCGTAATGTGCACGGGGCCTATTATGGACCTCATTTGGCCATCATAATATGTCATTGATAGTTAACCTTAACACAACATTAGTGTATATATCCATGACAACAGTATGCTTTCACAATTGTCACAAAAATTGCATTATATACGAGTAATATGCAATGTATCACAAGATAGAACAACTTTATAACAACACGGATGCAGGACATCCATATCGCTAAATCACTTTCTCATAAACCCTCCCCTATATGCTCCATATTGTTTCATTGCGATCCCCTAGTGTTTTTATATGTATGTAAGTTGCAGTAATTAAGAGCACTTCTTGCTTATCTTTTACCTAGTCTGATAAACCGCACGTGGTAAGGCGTTATGCTACTAGCGTTTGTAGCTTGGTACTGTATATGCCCCTCCCTCTTATATGTTACATATTTTCATCATGTATATAGCTATAGTGCCCCCTTCCTTGTATGATCCAATTATTTTGCCATGGATTTATATGAATAAAATTCGCCTCAAATCACAAACGATGGAATGTGTGACCGGCACAGACAAAAGCTATATAACAATTTATGGCAACACATTCCATCATTTTATATGTTATAGTTTATTAATCAACTAAGCAAGTGCACTTACAGTAATGAGACATTTTGATATACACGATGTGCACTTACTACATTTATATGTGAAAGTTGGTGGTGACCTTTTTTCCGATACATGTGATGATTTTAGCATGATGCCATTACTGATTACTGATTAATGCTTTTCATATCACCTATTTTGCTATTCCCTAATCTACTGTATATCAAATGATTATTTGCCAGTTTAGTTTTACTGAAAGGATCATTTAGCATTCCATTGAATCATCCATTCATTTCGATTCATGTTTGATGTAACAGTCACGGGAAGAATGAATGGTTGAGGAGATTTAAGTTACTTTTGCAATTTTTGTTCTTAATGATTTGCTTATTCGTTCTATACACACAGTAGCCGTTCTGAGAAAGGTGAAAAATTGGAAGGTCATAAAGATTCTTTATCAGACTATCTGTATTTTATTGCTACGTAAGTAAAGAGCTCTAGAATATGCTGATGCATTGAACATTATGCATGGCATATTTCCTCTCACAATTCAAACATCATTCTCACTTAAGCCAAGTAATAATGTTTACATTATTTATGCATGGAGAAAATGTAACAAAAATCTTAGAACCCGTTTCTACTGCAATAAATGTAAACGCTTTTGTAAAATGCATTATATCTATCTAACTGTAATGCCTTTTAGGATTGCATAAATAAAATAGCATTGTAATGGTAATCGTGACAGGCAAGATGATTCGCCAATTATTTCTGTCTTAAAATGCAATTTAGCCAAATATCCTCCAGATTTTTAAACGAAGCAATGGACTGTTCTAAATTAATTGTTTCAATTTTAGAATATTTTCACTCATACCATTCTTTACTATGGTATCTATTTTCTACAAATCCCCAAAATTTAGATTATATTAACAGAAAACCATCGATATTTACATTTATATGTTAATGCTAAATGTTGATGTTAGCTTTTATTATTATAAGGAGAAGTAAACAGTTTGCACCTCCTTCACTACATCGATAATATTTTGGGAGGTGTTTGCTATTTTGCCCATTGTTGATACATAGTATTTCGGAGGGAATATAATGATTCCTTCACAAGCAAAGCTCCTTAGGAATAACAATGTATTATTATTTCATTTTAAAACGCTTTAAATGTGAGAAACCATCGTAAAATTACATGAGTCTAAAAATATGAGAGTCATTTGGCTAAAAACAGGCATTTAAGAGTGTAAAAAATGGCGAACCATTTTTACCTTTTGCGACCACAAGACAAGCAGTTTTAGACTGGACAAGTAAAAATTTATATTTTAGTTGTTTTTGCCTTAATAAGAGAATAACTGATTCACCCGTTCATGCGACCAGAAATTGATATTCGGATACTCTTATATGTACCTAGCCCAAATATATTGCCCTCCTTTATTTACGATCCTTCCCACCAATAATAACATTGGCCAAAATGGTCACATAATCATGGATTCAACAAAATTGAGATGCCGAAAATGTTCCTTTTCAGTGAGTCCGCTATAAATGAATCTAACGACAATCGTACACAGACAAAGAGACGGTATTTTTGGCGAAGGCTCTTCCACAATTCACCTCCAGGGTAAAGCCCCCAAAACACCTACACCCAAAAATATACGTGTTAATCTCATGTTCATACTTGATATAACATTTTGTTTTATTAATGCATATTTTAGAGCTGATGGCGATCAACCTACCTCTCATTCGGCTTTGACCTTTTGCATCTAACTAAACCTATTTTCTCGTTTTGGATTATAATATCTTCCGGGTGAATCAGGCCAGCTCATTTAATACCAGATATACATATATCCCCTATATAGACACCACAGAACATATAGGGAAATGTTGTAATCTAGGAAACACAGCTACATCTATAATATGGTCAGCACACCACACTGGACTTATAAAAAACACTTGATACAAAATATATTTTTGTATGAACTAAATGCATGCTGTTTTAAAAATACTCTCCATGTCTGTATGTCCATCCACTCTTGTTGTAACCAATTAATATTTAGCACACTTTATAATGATAATGATTAATTATAATTAAATAAACGATACTTTATGTTCCTCTTACTGATATAAACGACCTGCCTTATTTGTACAAGTAATGTACTTCACAATTTTATTATTTTAAATTACGGTTAATAAACGAACATAGGTTTTGGTTTTCTCAAATAACACTAGTTTCTTTTCCTCTCCTTACACTATTTTAAATATTAATTTTTATTTCAAAAGCTATGTTCATCTCTATGTAAATGGACAACACACAAACTATTCAGGTTGCATATGACGCACATCCTATCTAATCACAACATTAGTAATTAGTATAATAGACAATATGAACCTGAACATGCAAGATGCGCATTTCATATTCAGCCGCAAATTAGCCGTGTTGTCCAAATATTCAAACATGACAGTTATTGAAACAACATCTGAATTACAAAAAATGATGTATTTGGTAGCTAAATGAAAATGAAACCTATCCTGATTTGCGGGAATGTTGTACACTCATGTATTTACAATACGTCATGTTTGGATTTATATGAATAAATACGTATACTTATGTATTTTACATTTAATTAATTTAATTATTTTTCAAAATTATTTAAGTTTTGTACCGACCTAACAGAAATCGCTAGAAGAATTAAGACAGAAGTAAAGAATAATAGTTATATGTAATGAAAGAAAGCAAACAGAGTTTCTTGTACCTTTTTATGCATGACTGACAACATTCAGCAAACGTGCATACAAGGCCCAAGTTAAACATCTGATCTATTTGGTCTTCCTTAACTGTTAACATTGTCCTATTAAGTGCTATCTAAGCATCTGATCCTTTGGGTCTTCCAGCAAGATACAATGGAACATTTTCAACAACATCATAACACTGATTGCATTGCTGTGTTCCTTGTATACCTTTGCGTCTAAGTGATTTGTGTAATTGTAGGAGTCACTTAAGTTTGGCTATGGGACCTGCTGGAGCTACACCACCTCAACCCGACTTCGCACCAATGAGGAAAGAAAATTCATTATCATCACTTAATAAACGACTTGGTATGGAGGAAGAAGGTACGCTAGCAGCTCACAGTAATAAAATCAGGCTTTTAAAATCTAGAATTTAATAATCCATAAGGTACAATCTGGAAAATAATTTCACAAAGTCCGTCCATTATAAAGCAACTCAGGTAATCATCAGATGCAGGGGCGGATCTAGGAACCAACAAGGGGGGAGGGGCCCAAATTTCAGGTCAGAGAAATAAACGACCGCGCTTGCGCGTAAAAAAATTTTGGGCCCCTAAAATCCCAAAGTGGGCCCAAATTTAGAAAAATTTGAGGCCCATTTTCTTCAAAATTTGGCCTGAAATTAAAAAATAAGGCCTTAAAAGGCCCAGTTAAGACCAAAAAGGCCCACTTTTTGGGGCCTGAAGCAAAACATTTTTTGGGCCCAATTTTTTTTTTCTGGGCCCACCCAAGGGGGGGGCGGGCCCCCAGGCCCCCCCCCCCTAATCCGCCAGTGAGATGCGTCTTTTCATTGATGTGTTTTACAATGTTCTTTGGTCTTTCCCATATGGTACTCGTGCTTACACATCTCTATAATTATATTTACAAAATATGGTACTTTCAGATGATGAAGACAATCCACCACCTGTAACAGAACTGACAGAACAGCATAAAAACGCAATTAGATCACTTAGAAAAATAAAATATTTTGTTGCTAGAAAAAAGTTCAAAGAAGCATTCAAACCATATGATGTCAAAGATGTAATAGAGCAGTATTCAGCCGGTCATGTAGATATGCTAGCTAGGATAAAAAATTTACAACAAAGGTAAAAGCAGTATAAGTTTTGGATTATTGGAGGTAAATGGAATAAATGACTTTGGGTGATCTCTCTTTATTAAGATGTCTTAAACATGTTAAAAGAATTACGAGGTAATATCCCTTCTCATTAAACCTATATTAAATTCAAGCAGATTAGGGATCTTCTTAATTATACTAAGGTCTTCCAATAAATGCTGATGCAGATGTTCTCATTTCCATGTTTATTGAAGGATTCAAGGTTAGGTTATCATAGATTAAAGGCGATGTGTATGTTTAACTACTGAATATATATCATGATTCTCATCGTTGTATTTTCAAAGTTACAGTGTATTGACTATATATGGATGAGGGTACCCGGATAATTATTTTCCTTTTTTATATGCCACTAGATATAGTATGTAAGTGAAAACCTATTTAAATGTTGGATGAGAATAGTAAGGGAGAAGTTCAATGGGACAGAACCATAATGATGAGACATGTGTTTGATGGATTAGGAAATTACTGTAGACATTGAAATAGATGTGGACCGAAAATCCTATGTAAGCAAATGAAAAATAGAAAATACTCCGAATAGGTCTCATCGCTGTTCATTAAACTTAGAATTACAAATAGTAAAGTTATTATATGAGACCAGTATTCAAACATCCACATAGCCTTAAATCTGTAAAAATCAACTTCATTTCCTTATGAATATGAAAATGAGAGCATTTGTACGACGGACCGACCTTCGCACAGTTTGGTTGTTTGTTTTACGAAGAATTGAATGCACTCATTAGGGGCACTCGATGTAAAACATGTACTATTATGTATACCAAAATGCAAATCCTTATGATCATTTACAATCCTTTTCAGGTTAGACCAAATACTTGGTAGAGCTGGAACCAAGGACAAAGATGTATATGAATCAAAGCTGAGTTTAGCATCTAGAATAGTCAAAGTAGAGCGATCTGTAAGTAATTAATGAATAAACAAACCATCTATTAAGGTTGACAAAGGCGCGTATTAGAGCTGTAACAACTTGCCATGGCAGATGTTTCTCTTGAGTTTATATATCGTGCAAACATACAACTATTGGTGTATCAATGTGTTAATAAGTATGAATGAAATGTCCAGTAGTCTTGTGTTTTGGGATTGTGGTAATCATCCAGAATGTTGGTTGTACTCTACTGTTTTTTCAACTATGTTTTTGGATACCCCTTTTTTGGCGCGTATGCTTACATATTTACAATCATTAACGTTCAAAACATTAATGTTCGAAATCTATTTTAAAATGACTTGGTTAAAATGTCCCCAAACGTCATCACCATATGCCCGATGATATGCCGCCATAAATCAATTAGCCAGAAGTTAAAAACACAAGTGTTCACTAAATCACAACGATGTTTTGTTATCATTTTCATCTGGCATTTGCAGGTGGATGATATAGAGACTAAAATAGACTTGTTAATGGATATGTACAAAGAAGATAGATTAACTTGGCAACAAAGACTACAATCTCTCCCTATCTCAATTAAACCACCCCCTCCAGGAGGAGGAGGTAATGGGGACCCTAAAATTCAACCAATCTTAATCAACAGAGCTCCATTTAGTGAGCCAAACACACCCACCATTAAAACACCTGCTAAACCTATGCAGCGAAACTATAGTGATCTTGGACCTCGAGTGAAAAAACGGGTAACATACAGATGTCTCTCAGAGGGACGGGAAGGTATGCAGAGTCGCTTGCGGAGTGCCATGCAAAATTATGACCTGGGCTTTCACGAGGAGCAGGCCGAGGAGACTGCCGGGAGTAGTACTCTTGTGGCCAGCCAGGAAAAACACCCTCTTGCTCTACATCCCGAAGACACTCATTCCTCCTCTGGTTCTGAAAGTCCTAGCAGTATCTTAAGTGAAATAACCAACAATGAAAACGAGGATTTTGATGATCCTCGAGATCATGAACCTCTTACTCGGACACCCAATGATATATTTGCATTTGCAAAAGAGGATATTGGTGCTCATGCGACTCCCCCAAGGCGGCATAGTTCAGCGTCTACATGCACTGGCGGGGGAAGTGACCAAGATGAGGGACTTACCATGATTGCACCTATTACTGAAGACAAAACCAGTGTTCATTTGGAGGATGAAACGTTCAATATGCAAGAAAGTCAGCTCCTAATGAGACCTGAAGTTCTCAAATTACGCCGAAAAACGTTTTGTTAATGCATTCTAATCTTGTATTGTTAGATTTTTGTTTCTACAAGATTGTCAAATTTTGATTGTTATAAACTATTCATTATATATTATACATATTGTTATTACATATTTGTGATATGTGAAGTTTGTTATAAATTCTAGTTCAATAAAATGGCAGTGCCATTATGTTGCTATAAATTCTAGATATATATCTTAAGCCCTCTCTCATTTACTTGTCTTCATCGTGTCTTGCTTTCACTATACTCGGTGGATAGGTTTATTTTGGCTGTTAAAACTTGTACTTCCCATAAACCATATTATATATATAGACATACATACACACAACATAACTCTCCGAGATATAGGCAACCAGAAATGCAATTTTGGGCCACGTCTTCTGTATGTTTATGTCGGATGGTGTTAAAATGGCATTAATAAATCCGGCCTGTTTTAGTTGAGGGTTTCAACATTTTATCATTCACGCATAAACAGGCATTGAGACCATATCCAATATGAAATTTCGGTTGCCGAACATTTGGAAGGGACGTACATGATAGTGCATCCATTGTGCTGTCACAATTATCTGGCGTTTTGATTTAATAATTGATGAAAATAAATGCCAATAATCTACCTCTTAATCAGGGTTGCCGTATGCTACACATAGCTTTCCATGTACCTTTGTAGACAGTACATATAAATACTCCAGCATCTTGATGTTACGAATCCAACGATATACTGAAGATAACAAGTGCGCAGATATCAGACAATCATATTATTGAAATGTAATTAGTTTCCATTAGATTTTGTATCAGAATGGGCTGTCTTGCGAATTGATTTGTTCCAAATAAAAGAAAAGTATTTACATATTTAAGAGAGTCTTAAAATATATCGTTAATCCAGATATATGATGTGGTAATCTAAACATCATTTTAGCGTTTCTTTATGTGTGTGCAAGAACAAAGCATTAAAGTCATAGCAGACATACATGTATAATAGCCAACCTGAATGTAGGACGAAATGTCTGAAATTGTTCAACTTTGTTTGCAATGTTAGTGTATCCTAGTAAAAGATTGGTAAAACCAGGTCATTTGACTGTGATGTATTGCCTTGGTATTTTCTTCATTCTAGTTATAGCGTATATTGATCATCAGTTTACTCAAATATGAACTTCTGATCGTCAGATATATGTGATATTTATAATCATGATATCACCATGTACTGATAATGTGCAATCAGGGAAGCATCATTTTGATAACCAGGTGACCTCTGGTAGAATATGAAGTATTTCAAATTGTTGAACTTAGTTAACTGTTGTTAAAATAAGAATAAAACGTTTATTGAACATGTCATAGAAAATTTCATACTGTCAATGATAAGGGTCGATGAGTATCTAAAATAGTATTGTGTAATGCTAAAATTTTGACCTGGTGATATTTTTACGATTGATCAGATGTGAAGGTTCTGGGCGACTATGTGATATTCAGTGATATTCTGGATTATGCCTCGCACTGCAAAATGATTGGTAGTTTGGCCATCTTTAGTTTGATCTCTCGTTTCTTCTCACACTTTTAAGTGCTAGGAAAATTCA